TGCGAGCGCCTGGCGGGGAGACCAGGTCGGACGGCAGCGGCCCGGTCCGAGGTCCGGAACCCCACGGCCGCGAAGGCCGAGCTCAGACCCTGGCCCGGCGTGGCCGGTGCACGGCCTTCAGGCCAGGAACAGTCCTGTGGGCGCCTCGTGCTCCCGTACCCAAAACTGGGGGGGCAGAAGATAACCCCAGCCGCCCCAGGAGCCCGGACGGAAGCAGAGGCACAGCTTGAGCCGAACACGAAGCCGGAGTGGCGATGGCAGGCGTGGGGTCCCGGCCCACCACGCACAGGGCGGTGGCTAAGGGCTCACTCCTTGGCGGACTGTCTCCTCACACTTACTTGTCTCTCCTGCCTCCCTCTTCCGACCAGGCTGAAGAGGAGCTGGGAACGCAGAGCTCAGGTTCCCGCTCAAACTGAGAACATGCAAGCAGGGCCGGCTCAGAGGGTGAGGCTTGCAGTAGGAGGCAGGGGGCAGGGACGGCTCATGAAGGGGGCTGGGGCAGGCAAGCAAGCAGGGTATCCATGTGTGAGCAAGAGACCTCCAGGTGGGCACAGCCAGCTCGAAGTCTGGAGAGAATACACAGTAATGGGGCGAGGAAGGGGGATGGGTAGGCATGGCCACTCTGGGCCTTGTCCTTCCACAGACCAATCCTAGGCCCCTAGGTCCATGAGAAAGACCAGGAGCCACAGGCCAAGCAGGGCCTGATAGCCTCCTAGGCCAAGAAGACCCACACACTCCAGTCTCATTCATGGGGCTGCATGAAATAAAGGCATAATGTTAGTACAACCTCTGCTATGTGGAGATTGGGAGTGTGAGTCTGACACCCTCCAAGTCCCTGGGTCTGGTAATGCCTTAGCCCAATTCTGTCTCGAGGTCTAGAGACCACACTGAAGGGACTCAGGAAATGCTCCCCCTCCTCCTGGTCTCTGGCATCTCCAGAATTTGACATACTGCTCTGACCACAGGCAGAGGGATGGAAGTCCTTTTCCAAAAGGCTCAGTCTGAACCTCAGCCCATGAGGATTTATTTCCTTCATGTAGACCTGCATGGCACAAACTCACACACAACCAGGATCCAAAGCCAGTCAGTTCCATGATGTAGTTCCCTCATCTTACATATATATGGTCATTTGAGGATTCATGTAGTCATGTACTGTGCCAGGAACATACGATGCTAGAAATGCCTGTGCAGTGAGTCTGTCAGTAAAGGTTTGTATGGTGTGCATGTGAGGCATATCTCAGACCCACTGAGATGCACACACCCAACAATGCCAGTGACAGCAATTAGTTTCTTCTCTTGACATGTCATGTAGGCCAGTGACAGCATGGAGCAAGGAGAGAGGTCCACAAGGCCTCCTAGAATGTCTCTACAGAAGTATGGAAGAATGTGGCAAGATGGAAAATCCATCAATTGAGGGCTTTCAGCAGCAAACCTAAAACTCTACTTCAGTTCTCGATGACATTAAACATACCTATGGTTTCTGATAATACACTATAAAAGTTAAAATACATTGAACTAAGTTTTAGCACCCTAGTTCTACTAGACAAACATATGCTACCTCACAGGGCAGGTAAGAATGAGAGAGGCTAATTATTAGTTACTTCTACTCATAATCAAAAGGTGAAAGGCACTGTAAACTATGTTAAGTCTGCACTGAGATTTCACCTTAGAACTAAGAAAATACAGAGTGGTAAGAAGAGTTTGTGGTATTAGGAAGGTGATATTTCCTTTTGTTCCTGTGGAAGCAGGTGACGGGTATGTTCAAATAATTTTGTCAGCTAGCAGTGAACTGAAATACATTATATTATAGATTGACAAAAGCATATTCCATTGTAATTATGTAATTTTAATTACATAAAATATAAACCAGTTATATATAACATATGCTTATACACAAACATGCTATATTCTACATATTAAATATGTTTACATTACACATGCATAAAACACACTTTATATACACTAAATACATGCTATAAGGTATAAAAAATTTTTGAGCACAGTTCAAGCCCAGTACTATTAAAAAAATCCCTTTAATAAGGACACAAAGGCCTCAAAAAAGTATTAGAAAAGCAAGTGTAAAAATTCTTATATCCCATATCAAAAGGGATTGAACCTATAAAAGCCATGTTTTCATATTTGAAAGATAATACATATTAGAAAAAGCAAGATCATCCCAAGAGATACAGAAAATCATTTAACAAACCTCAATACTAGTTCATGCTCTTTCATGCACTTGAAGGGAACTGTGATCTCTGAAGGCTTTAGTGAACTGTTTACATTCATAGGATCTTCTCCAGTATGTGTGTCTTCATGGCAAATTGTGACCTATGAAGGACTTCACATATGGTTTACATTCATAGAACTTTTCTTCAGTAGTTCTTTTCTGTCATTGAAAGGACTGGTAAGGACTGAAGGCTTTACCACATTGTTTACAAGTATAGAATTTATTCCAGGCATATATTTTCTTCTGTCTTCAAAAAGACTTGGAAGAGCTAAGAACTTTACCACATAGTTTGCTCACATTTTTTCTTCAATGAGTTCCTTTATGTAATTCAAGGGACTAGAACTAAGAGCTTTGCCATATTATGTATATACATAGGGATTTCCTTCACTGCATGTTCCTGTACTTAAAGGTAATACATTTCTGAAGGCTTTCCCATACTGTTTACAGTGATATTTGGTTTTCCTCCAGTATGAGTTCTTTCATGTGCTTGAAGGTAGTTGAGATACCGGAAGGCTTTTCCACACTGTTTACATTTGTAGGGTTTTTCTCCAGTGTGAATTCTTTCATGTACTTGAAGGGAGCTATGGTATCTGAAGGCTTTACCACAGTATTTACATTCATAAGGTTTTTCTCCAGTATGAGTTCTTTCATGTCTTCGAACAGATAGGTGATATTTGAAGACTTTAAAACACTGTTTACATTGGTAGGGTTTTTCTCCAGTATGAGTGTTTTCATGTACTCGAAGGTAGCCAAGACACATGAAAGCTTTGCCACACTGTTTACATTCATAGGGTTTTTCTCCAGTATGAGTTCTTTCGTGTACTTGAAGGTAGTTGAGATACCGGAAAGCTTTTCCACACTGTTTGCATTCATAAGGTTTTTCTCCAGTATGAACCCTTTCATGTACTTGAAGGGAGCTGTGGTCTCTGAAGGCTTTACCACACTCTTTGCATTCATATGGTTTTTCACCAGTATGAGTTCTTTCATGTCTTCGAAGGGAAAGGTGGTATTTGAAGACTTTAAAACATTGCTCACATTGGTAGGGTTTTTCTACAGTATGTGTTTTTTCATGTCTTCGGAAACAACTATGATCACTGAAGGCTTTGCCGCATTGTTTACATGCATATGGTTTTTCTCCAGTATGACGTCTTTGATGTACGCGAAAGTGACCGAGATATCTGAAGTTTTTTCCACATTGTTTACATTCATAAGGTTTTTCTCCAGTATGAATCCTTTCATGCACTTGAAGGGAGCTGTGGTCTCTGAAGGCTTTATGGCATTGTTTACATTCATGGGGTCTATCCCTAGTATGAATTTTTTCATGTCTTTGGAGGGACTTGGAAGAACTAAGAATTTTACCACAATGTTTACATTCACATGGTTTTTCTCTGGTATGAGTTCTTTCATGTAATTTAAGAGAACTGGAACTACTGAGCATTTTACCACATTGTTTACATTCATAGGGTTTTCCTTCACTGTGCATTCGTTCATGTATTTGAAGGTAACTAAGATGTTTAATGGCCTTTCCACATTGTTTACATTCATAGAATTTTTCTCCAGTATGACGTCTTTGATGTGCTCGAAAGTGACCAATATATCTGAAGTTTTTTCCACATTGTTTACATTCATAGGGTTTTTCTCCATTGTGACTTCTTTCATGTACATGAAGGGAACTGTGATCTTTGAAGGCTTTTCGACACTGCTTACATTTGTAGGGATTTTCCTCATTATGGGTTCTTTTATGTACTCGAAGGTAGCTGAGATGTCTGAAGGCTTTTCCACATTGTTTACATTCGTAAGATTTTTCTACAGTGTAAATTCTTCCATGTATTTGAAAAGAACTACAACAAACAAAGGTGTCTGCACTTTGCTTGCAGTCATAGGGATTTTCTATACTGTGAAGCTTCACACTGTGAGTCTGTTGATGTACTCTAAATGATTTGAGAAAATCAAAGGCTTTGAAACATACTTTACACTCATATGGTCCATTTACACTGTGAGATGCCAAGTGTCCTTGTACACTTGTAAGAGAAATGAAGGTTTTCCCACCTTGTTCACACTTATACAGCTTCTGTCCATATTCTTCATGCACATATGGTTTATATCCAGAGTGAGAGATGGTGTGGCTATTAAAGAATGAATGACACATGAAAACCTTCTCATACACATTGCATATTTTTATTCTAGTCCAAATTTTCTTGCTCACATTAATATTGGAATCTGGGTGCAGGTATCTGCACGGATTACCTTCTTTACTTTCACTGAGTCTACCATGTAATTTAAGTGAAAATAACACAAAATTAGGAATAGGTACTTTATTAATGAAAATTTATTAGTAGGTCTTGAACTTACACTACTTGACAAAAGCTGTGTATTTTCTGCCATGGATGAATAATTTGAAAACAAATGATTACTCTGCAACCCAGAGCTACTATTAAAACAACATTCATGTGTGTGTTTTGTTAGTGTTGTCTCCAAAATGAAATACTTTACAAACACTGAATAGCTCTGTGACATCAAAATACATATTTGGGTGAAATTTCTCTAATGGTAATTAAAAAGTTGTATGGGGTTTTTTTTTTTGCATGTTTTTAAATTTTCATGACATGCAAGGTTCACTCAAGAGATGATGCTTCCTCTTATACATGCAAATTACCTTAGACTTCTCCCAGGGTTTGTATGCTGATCTTTCATGTTCTGCTCTCTCCATCTGTTCCCTAAAATGCAGATCCAGAAAAAATTATGAACTATTAAGAAATTATAGAAAAAATATCTTCTAGGTTAAGCATACCTTGTAACCATCATGCCTGAATTATTCCTTAAATTCTTCCCTTTCCACATTCCAAATCATGGAACAATTTGTTCTCTATTTGCTCTCTAACTGACTAAGTGAAGAAATGTCATTCATACCTATAGAAGCGAGGTTGCTGAAGGTTTCCAGCATTACATCTCTGTAGAGATTCTTCTGAGAAGGATCCAGCAAAGCCCACTCCTCTTGGGTAAAGTTCACAGCCACATCCTCAAAGGTCACAGACTCCTAGAACATTCCATATATGTGGACAGGAAAATGGGTGAATCTGACAACTCTGTGATTCTACAAAGTGTTCTTATGTTTCTGTTGTCACCACACATGGATTCTATGACTTAGTCATGATCTACAATCTCTCCTACGAGTTCTAATGCTATAATTAAGCTATTCCAGAAGGAAAAGAGCAGAATAAGAATTCTCTCACACCAGGCGCTGGTGGCTCATGCCTGTAATCCTAGCTACTAAGAAGGCTGAGATCTGAGAATCACAGTTTAAAACCCCTCTTATCTCCAATAAACCACTCAGAAAACCAGAAGTGGTGCTATGGTTCAAGTGGTAGTAGTGCTCGCCTTGAACTGAAGAGCTCAGGGACAGCACCCAGGCCCAGAGTTCAAGCCCCACAACCCACAAAAATAAATAAATAAATGAATTATCTCACTAGTGAGCCAAGGAAGTAAGAAGTGCTGATGGGACACCACTAAATTCTCTGTGTAGAGTGGATCTCCAGAATGATCATAACAAATTTCTGCCACTTGATATGCAGAATTCATACTAGCAGTCTTGAAACTGCTTGTCCTTAGAAACTCCAGGTGACCAACTTAAGGTTTTGAGCAATCTCACAAATTAAAAAAAAAAAACACCCTTCCTTAAATTTATGCAAATAGTATGGCTTCTTCTGTTTTGTTTATTTGTTTGTTTGTTTTTGGGTGCTAGGCCTGAGGCTTGAACTCAGAGCCTGAGTACTGTTGTAACTTTTTTCACTCAAGCCTAGCACTCTACCACTTGAGCCACAGCTCTACTTCCAGATTTTCTTGGTATTTAATTGGAGATAAGAGTCTCATGGACCTTCCTGCCCAGGCTGGCTTTAAACAGTGATCTTCAGATCTCTGTCTCCTGAGAAAGTAGAATTACAGGTGTGAGCCACTGGTACCTGGCTTCTTTTTTTTCTCTTTTGGTAGTACTAGAGATTGAACACAGGGACTCACATTCATTTGGCTTCATTAATTAGCTAGTGCTGTACCACTTAAGATATGCCTCCAACCCTGCTTTTCCTGGTTATTCTGGAGACAGAGTCTCACAGACATTTCTGTCCAGGCTAGCTTTGAACACTGCAATACTCCAGCTCTTAGCCTTCTGAGTACTAGGGTTAGATATGAGCAAACACCATGTGGTTCAGTATGGCATTTTCTGAACTGTTCTTCTGAAAGTCTATAGTAATTTAGCTAGAGGATCAATCTGCCTCCACCTTATTCCTAACCTTACTATTAAAAAAAAATTCAACATTACTTGACATGGAATTTCTATTGAATTTCCACGGAAGACATTATTTCATGCATGGGGTCACACTTATTTTTTTGTGAAATTGAGCCCACCCTATGGGAACACATTTAGAGGCCCATGAACAACTGACTGCAGGCCAGATTTAATCAGTTAGTGACTATGATACATGCTCAATGTTTAATTACCCTAACAGAAAAAGATGTAAATTCCCACTGAGTAATATAAGCAGATCAGAGCAAAGTGGCTCATACTTGTTACTCCCAACTACTCAGAAGGTAGAGATCTAAAGAACTCCAGTTCAAGGACAACCCAGGCAAAAGGTTAGCAAGACCCCATCACAATAAGCTAGGCATGGTTTCACACACCAGTGATCCCAGCTACATGAAAAGCTGTGAACAAAACAGTCAAAGTCTGAGGACAGCCCCTGGCAAAAACATGAGACCCTGCCTGAAAAATAAAGTAGTAAAGGACTAGAAGCATGGCTCAAGTGGTAGAATGCCTACCTAGTGAGTATGAGGCCCTGAGTTCAAACCCAAGTACCACCATCACAGAAAGAAAGAAAGAAAGAAAGAAAGAAAGAAAGAAAGAAAGAAAGAAGAAGGAAAGAAAGAAAGAAGAAGGAAAGAAAGAAAGAAGAAGGAAAGAAAGAAAGAAAGAAAGAAGAAAATAAGTCACATGTCCTTAGAAAAACTAAATGTAGATAGGTACAGTGGCAAGCTACTTAAAAGAGACTAAGGCAGAAGATTCATTTGAGCCCATGAGCACAGAGCCACCTCCCTGTGTAGAGACCCAATCTCAAAACAAAATAGCAACAAAGAAAAATTCAGTATTGGGGCTAGGAAGATGGCTCAGTGGTAGAGCACTTGCCTTGCATGCATGAGGCCCTGGGTTTGATTCCTCAGCACCACATAAGCAAAAAGAAAAAAGCCGGAAGTGACGCTGTGGCTCAAGTGGTAGAGAGCTAGCCTTGAGCTGAAAAGCAGAGGGACAGCACCCAGGCCGAGTTCAGGCCCCACAACCAGACCCCCCCAAAAAAGAAAAGAAAGCAAAAAATTCAGTATCACCAATATGCTACCTCTTTTGAACTGTATCCTCAAAAAAATTCCATGAATTCTCTGGTGGCTCATACCTGTAATCCTAGCCACTCAAGAGGCTGAGATTTGAGGACCCTGGTTTGAAGCCAGCCCAGGAAGGATAGTCTATAAGACTTATCTCCAATAAACTACCAAAAAGCTGAAAGCAGAGATGTGGCTGAAGTGGTAGAACACTAGCCTTGAGCAGAGAAGCTCAAGGACAGTACCCAGGCCCTGAGTTCAAGACAGGCACACAGGTGCGCGCACGCACACACGCACACACGCACACACACACACACACACACACACACACACAAATTCCACAAATCTGCAAAACAGGCTTTTTATTAGTCAATAAGAATCACTTTTCCAGGCCTACTAGGAATAACAACTGTGTAACAAGTGAACTCTATTAGGCAATAAAGCACAGAGTAATATAGCCTGACTTCATTTGAATTCAAGGATTTTCAAATTATAGTATACAGAACAATCTAGTATTAATGGAGAAATAAACACACAAAAGGAAAGGAAAATAGGGGGGTGGGGAAGGAAAGAGGGAAAAAATGAGGGAGGGGGTAACAAGTTCATACATCACCTTGACAATAAAATTAATGATTTTCATTTATATGAGAAAAAGTAATAAAGAATGGAACTGGCAAATTCAAATATTAAGAGAATTAAAACAAAAAAAGAATGGAAGAAAAGGAAAAAATGTGCAAAAGATCTACAATATAAAAGAATTTGACTAGAGAGTCAAATGAATAAACTAATCAGATGGAGTGCTAGATACTTGTAATCCCAGCATGTGGAAACAGGAAGAATAAAAAATTTAAAGGTAGCCTGAACAAAGTTAGTGAGACCTTGTCTAAAAATTAAATTTAAAGATGAATGACATTTGGTATCAGTAGCTCAAGCCTGAAATCCTAGCTACTCAGGAGGCTGAGATCAGAGAAGTCCATTTCAAAGCCAACTGGGGCAGAAAAATCCATGAGACTATCTCCAATAAACCAACAAAAAGCTGGAAATGTAGCTGTGTCTCAAGTGGCAGCACAAAAGAAAAAGAAACAGAAAGTTTATTTATTTTTTGGTGCTAATCCTGGGGCTTGAACTCAAAGACCTATGAACTGTCCCTGAGCTTTCTTGCTCAAGACTAAGGTTCTGCCACTTAAGCCACAGCTCCACTTGCAGCTTTTTAGTCATTTAACTAGAGATGAGAGTGTCACAGAAATTTCCTGTCTGGGCTAGCTTGAACCACAGTTCTCATATCTCAGCTTCCTGAGTAGCTAAGATTACAGGCATGCACCACTTACACCTAAGTAGCACATTTTTGTTGTTGTTGTTGTTGGTCGTGGGGCTTGAACTCTGGGCCTGAGCACTGTCCCTCAGCCCTTCATCTCAAGGCTAGCGCTCTACCATTGGAACCACAGCACCACGTCCTGGTTTCTGGTGGCTTATTGGAGATAAGAGTTTCACAGCTTTTCCTGCCTGGGCCGGCTTTGAATCACAATCCTCAGATCTCAGCCTCCTGAGTAGCTAGGATTACAGGCATGAGCCACCAGAGCCCGGCTTTGCACATTTTAATGGAAGACCTACATGAAAACAGATCCATCTCAGAGCCTAGCATTTGTCAAGTGAATGATTTTTGACAGTGATTAGATAGGCAAAAATTAGGCCTAACTGACTTCCTAAATGGCAATGGCCATAGCAAACAAAAACCATTATGGATAAATAAATGAGTCCTGTAATAGACTTATACTCCCCTACTATTTCCCATAATTTGAACTTTAAAAGTCACCAACAGAGGCTAAGTGTGCAATCCCAGCACTTGAGAGGCAGAGGCAGAATGATTTACCAGATGAAGCCTGGCTTGGGCTAGATAGCAGGACCCACCCTCAAACGAGAAATGCTCATAGGACTCATATTCATTTGATTTCCACAGAAGGAAAAGAAAAAACAAATTGTGACAGTTCTGGAGTTCGTGGGCACTGTCCTTGAGCTTCTTTTGTGTTCTACCACATGAGCCATAGCACCACTCTGGCTTTTTGGGGTTTTTTTTTTTGAGTAGTTTATTAGAGATATGAATCTCAGGGACTTTCTGCCCTGCTGTCTTGGAACTTTGATCTTCAGTTCTCAGCCTTCCTAAGTAGCTAGGATTACTGGTGTGAGCCACCAGTGCCCTGCCAGATTGAAATTCTGGTATCATCCCATTGATAAAAATTGTACCTCCTGGGCCACAAACAAGTTCCAAAAGTGATTGTACTCAAATGAGTTAAAAATGTAGGTCCCAACAAAAACTAGCATGCAAGCATTATCAATATTAATGCTTAGAGTATGCATACTTTTAAAGGTTTAGAAGCATATAAGAAAGATAAAGATGTTCAGCAAGGTTAAAGGAACCAATATACAAAAATAAAGTATACTTCTTTACAATTACAATAAAATACTTGAAATACAAATTTTGTTTTTGGTGTTGGTCCTAAAGCTTGAAATCAAGGCCTAGGTACTCTCCCTGAGCATTTTTGCTCAAGGCTAGCACTCTACCACTTGAGCCATAATGCCATTTCTGGTTTTCTGGTGGTTTATCAGAGATAAGGGTCTCACAGATTTTCCTATCTGGGCTGGAAACTCAGCCTCCTAAGTAGCTAAGATACAGGCATAAGCCACTAGCAC